TGAATTGTAATATATTACCAGGTAAGTGCTACATTACTGCAGACAATTCATTACATAGTAAAATTGTACACTTTTTACCACGTAATTACATGGTAATAAGGTAGTAATTACATTTATTTACTTTTTTTATTACCATGTAATTACATGGTAATAAGGGTACCATAAAAGAAAGCGTTACCATGGCAGCACGATATTGGGAGAAACTAACATCTTTTTCTTGCTGTGAGAAGAATTGTGATAGAAAACAATCCAGGAAGTGACAACAGATGAGTTGAATTTCACTTGAAGTGTTGCTGTCCTCTTGTTGTCATGAACCTTTACTGACCTGATCTTCTTTTTTGTGCACATGACAACAATGTTTTTAGTTTTGTGATGTTTTAATGTGCAGACATGAATTGTGTTTTACCACCATTTTTTATTTTCTGTTCCTCCACACTTTAATAAACCATATTTTGCTTCTTTTCCTCCAGATCTATGCTAATTTGCTCATCTTCCTTGTTTTCATCAAGATCCACGTTGTTTCCTCCACAGCTCCAGAATTCAGTGACATTTGAAAAACATTCCCAGATGTTTTACAACAAAATGACACTTTTAGCTTTTTGGCACAAAAGGCACTTGTTACTGCAGTGGAAGCAGCTCGTCAAAATAAAAGCCTAACATGAAACAGTTTAGTGCAGTGCCTTATGGTTTAGTGGTTTAGTCCTGGTACTTAGTGAAGCACCTGTTAATGCTCAAACATTATTATCTACTTGGTTTTCTTCTCTATGAGTGAAATATTTCAAAATGTTTAGTGTATTCAGCTGGTTAATGCCACAGAACTACAGTTTGACTTGGTTAAGCTCTGTAACTATGTGTGTTAATCCTGACAGTTTGATTTGAAAACAGAATTTAACTGATGAAGAGGAAACAGAGCTTAACTCCATCATGCACTCAGGCTGATGAAAAAATCCTGTGTGAGTTCAAACAGCTTTAATGAAACATCAACACTTCCATGGGTTTTAATCAGTCGAACACAGATTTGATGCAGAGTGAAGGTGAGGAGGTGTCTTCTTTAACGTCCTCCTGTGATTCTCAGCCCACACTCAGCCCCTCACATCACAGCCCCTCACATCACAGCCCCTTACATCACAGCCCCTCACATCACAGCCCCACACGTCACAGCCCCTCACATCACAGCCCCTCACATCACAGCCCCTCACATCACAGCCCCTCACATCACAGCCCCTCACATCACAGCCCCTCACATCACAGC